CCCCCCCCCCCCCCCCGCCGAAAAAAATCTGCGCGTTGAGTTTGGCGGCATCCCGGACAACCAACTCAAGCCCTCATCTCACACCTGGTCACAGATAGCCGATGGTGGCGCGCAAGCCCCTCGAATGCCCTGCAAGATCGTTCGCATGCCGGCCTCCTCCTGGGGGGCGTGAGATTTTGCGACATGTCATGGCTCAAAATAACCGCGTGGTACGTATCACGCTGTCGAAGTGTTACTACTGTGTCGGGGAACATACAACCACAAGGCATCCACCACACGCGAGATAATCATGATTATTCGGCTTTCACCTTTTTGACAAATGTAGAACGGGCAAGCACGGATGCTATCGAGGTGAAGCGTGTCGCTGGGGGGTTGCCGCGGCTATAAACTCAGGCGTCTGCCGGAATCCGCCTGACTACCAATGGCGTGTTCAAGTCACGGTTCGTGGGGATGGTCTGACGATTTCACCTCCATGCCCATCCGGAGTCTTTCGAGCAGGGCCGTCACGGCCGACAGTCCGGTGCTCTCCTGTCTGCGCACCACGCCGGGGGCAGAACGGCCCAGCCCCGACACAGCGTAGAAATGGCGAAGGGTTGTGGGTGTGTGCGAAAAGCGGTGCGAGACAGAAGCCGAGAGGAGATTGGTGGCAGCGTCTGGGGGCACAAGGCAGGCTGATAGGCATGTAACAGAGTTGGTGCTGGTGGTATCCCATCAACTACACTACAAATAGTGTGCTGATTAATCCACCCCATTGCTGCAATGTGTGCTGATTTGCCTGAGGGCGTGAGGCTTACTATCGATGCTACACACAGGGGCCCGACCGCGAGTACCCTGCTGTTAATGGGAGCGTTATTCATAGTCAAGCCCGTGTTCAAGCAGACTCCGGTGGTTTGTAGAACAAACCGGTAGCGGTCCACTGCTTTACAATGAGTAGCTTGGTCTCTTCCAAAAGTCAGGTGGTAACTCCACCTTATTGGTGAATGCCGAAACAGCAGCAGTGTACAATGCTCGAATTGCGATCTCGTGATATGATCTAACAGTGCGCAATACGGCCACATCGTGTGCACATGCACAGCCAGGTACGAGTAGCTTATGCACGCACTCCAAACGCACAGAAAGCCAAGGCACATCTTTGTGTGCGCAGAGTGCCGTGCGGCGCAGAGCACGAACGGTTTAGGCGGAGATCTGCCACTTTTCGTTTTTCGAAATTCAAATCTACTCTCACGAAATCATGCACCCCTCTTTCTCACACGCCAAACAACGTCGGCATTCTCGGTAAAGTAACAGAATACTATCAGGAAATGCCCATCTGCCATCGCCCCCTGGCTCCGGCACAGCAGCGAGCGCTGCCAAGGATGCCCGGCAGCGGGGGTTCGTGGGCTCGAAGATGACAGTCCCGCGAAAACCCGCGCGGTTACAGTTGTGTGTAGGCGATGGCTATTTAGAACAGTTGCGTTCGCTCAACAAAGTCTCCATTCCTGTAGGGAGGGGTGATGTTGTTGTGGTTCCAACTTGCGTACTACGCTGTGATCCTGTCCTCATGGGTTATTGGCGATCGCCGCTATCTTTCGACAATCCCTCGTTCCCAGCAGGCGGACAGGCATACACACTGCTGCTGCTGCTGCTGCTGCTGCTGCTGCTGCTGCTGCTGCTGCTGATCACTGCGTTTGTTATTGTAAAGGAAGGGAACACACCTTGACCACGCTCTCTCCCACGAGAAAAGACAGCCTTGCACTAGGCATAGCACACAATCAACCATACACCGGTTAGACATACACCTACGGCACCACGTTTGGCGCACACTTGCACCGCAATGGTCGGCGACCGCTGTTGTTGGCGGGAAACAGAAACACCGACCGTGTTCCAGCAGTTACCTTAAGAGCCGAGTACACAGGCCGAGGGCATCGCTCGCTGTTGGGCTCCTGACCACTGACTCCAGAACTAAGTCCACTTCCATTGTGGCGAGCAGCTGCTCACTGGTGTATCTGTCTCACTGGATCATTGTGTCGCTGCGTGTCATGGATACGACATGAGCAACATGAGGGCCATTTCGGGGGGTGCCGTGAGATATTTCTGAGAAAAGCGGCATCCTCGTTCATGTCTGTGTCCCCCCTCCAATCTCGTTGCCAGCTCTTTGAAAACATGCGCAAGCCGTATTTGTTGAGTGGGTGGTGGATCTTCATGTTATGAATCTTCGATCTGCCCAGAAGACACACAACCCACGATTGAGTGTGATGGAAGATTGTTTTCACAGCAGCATGTATCGTGACAATCAAGGATATACACCCGGTCGGTAGGCCCTTCCCCATTCTGCTAAATTTAGCAGAAAAAAGAGCAGATTTGGCCATAATAAGTGGCACAGGCAAGAAAAGCAGATCCAATTTCAACATCTGCTCGAGCAGAACAAGCACTGCTCGAGCAGAACAACCTGCTCCTGGAGCAGAACACGCCGTAATTGGAGCAGATATGCCATTATCCTACCGCATCACTACCAATTAGGCGCCTATTTGTGCCCGAGATGGCTAAATAGAGGGATTTTCGGAATAATTCGGCATAGTTCTTCCTTCAGCCACATAATAGCATTCGGTGGTACGCGAGGGGGTCGATAAGGCACAGAGCAGATATCGAGGAAAAAAAGGAGGAAAAGGCATATTTGGCCCGAACAGGCATAAGTGAGAGCATAACCACGGGAAAATTTCACAACTGGCCGTTGACGGAAAAACAAGCATTACGAGAGGGCATATCCACCGAAAAGTAGCAGAAAAGAGCAAAAGTGGCCCAAAACAGCGAGCATAACGGAGGGCATAACGGACGAAAAGGAGCAGAACCAACGAGCAGATTGGACTTTTCAAGCAGATGCTTGCCGAAAAAAAGAAGCAGAAAAGAAAAAAAAGGAGCAAAATGGGGAACGGCCTACCGGTCGGTGCGATCGAGAGATCGTTTAAGAACATGATACCGATCGGACAAACAGGACCACACCCCGAGCAGGATGATAACATGGAATCGAATCACGTTTGCGTATGACCATATGATTAGAGCTGGCCCTGTCCTTGGCGCGACAGTTTCGCGTCACAGCGATCAAGCCCCAAACACATGGAACAGCGTAAAAAAAGCATGTGTGACAGAATCAATGTGTCTTTGCCGGTCTACAAGAGCCCCCCCCCCGAAAACAAAACACTACCGCTACTGCCGTAACCTCTTTTTTCTCCCCGTTGATCTTCCGTTGCCCTGGCTATCCAGCAGCTTAAAGCTATCCAAGCTCAAGAAAAACAAACAAGTAAATGGAGCATGGAGACAGAAATCTTTTTGCATCAAGGACAAGGCTCCCGCTACAACGCATCAAGGGAAACAAAAGCGACTTCCAGAGGAACCGGCATTATGCAAGGAAACCCTCTCTCCCCGAGACTCGTCTAGCTAGAGTCGACCTGGTGCCAAGGAGCCTTCCACCCACCCATATCCTCCGCCGCAAACAATAGCCGCTTCTCCTCTGCCGCGAGACCAGACCCTGGCACCCAACGATGGCGCATGGCGACCAACCCAATCACTACCAAGCAAAGAACACTTTTGTCGAGACAAAAAAACAGACACAAACACGGAAGAAACCGGCGTCGTCTGTCCAAGCTATCTCTCTCTCTCTCTACCAGCTGGCGAGCTTAGAGCTCTTCGGTGCCTCCCAGTCCATGCGGCGTCCCGGCGGGGGCGGTAGTCCCTTCGCCTGTGCCTCGGCCACGTGGTCCACATCGGAATGCCACCACCACGGCTTCACGTTGTGGGTGGGCATGTGCTTCTGGTGAGGCGAACGAGGGGAGGGAAGAGAGAGAATGAACAGGCGTTTCGGAAAAATGAAAAATATGGTTGGGATCGGGGGGGGGGGTTGTGTGCGTCTGGTTTAACGGGCGACTGCATTTGACGCCTTCGTGAAAGCAACAGGTAGGTTGTGTCTTGAGGGTAAGAACGACGGGATTTGAGAGCACGAAGAATGGCGTGCCTGCAATACTTTTCGCCCACACGCGATTTTTGTACTACCCGCACGTTCAACACAATCCAGAGGGCTCAAGCACTTTCGTGACCAAGGGCGACATCATGTGCTTGAGTGTAAGAAGCAACAGACACGATACCAAACATCACCAGCAGTAACAACAACAGCTCGCCCAAGATGCTAAGTGTGAAGGGAGGTAATTATCTTCGACGGACGATGGAGAAATGGGATACGATTCTAATCGTCACCTCCCCCTCAGTGTTAAATGACTTGTTTGCCAGACACGAAGGCTATAAGAGGGTAAACGGAGAGTCGATTCCCTGCTTCGCGACCTCCTGCGCGTACTCTCGCGGGTGCGCTACGTCCACCACGTCACCAAAATTTCCACAACTTCAACACACTCTCTGTTTCCGTTGTTCGTTATTCCTCCACATACTATATACATAATAGTGTTTGGTGTTAACCACCACTACTTTTCGTGGGTGGCGGGATTGGAACCCGCATTCTCTTTCACCACAATCTCCCACCTCTCACCGCGACGCCAATGTGCAAAAAGAAGAGGAGAGAATCTTCATCGACGGACATGGGGGAAGACCCATATTAACGGTAAGACCCACGTGACGGGTAACTTCCACAGGAAGACATACACATACCACAGATCGATGGATAAGCTCACACGACACCCACACCACCAAACGCGAAACACACACGAACCTTGACGGATTCCGCCCAGGCCTCGTTGGTCGCCGACATGGTGCTACGAAGACCTGTGGGGTCGTACTTGAGCACGGCCGGGTTCTTGTTCCCCTGAGATGGCGCCGGGTCTTCAGGTCCTAGCTCATTCGAGATAAGCTCGAGGGCCTGTGAAAAACAAAACAACAAGACTTGGATGTAAGGCTAGCGATGAATTCATCTTGCATCTAGACTTGTATAGACGAAACGGGAAAGCCCAAAGAACTTGTCGAAAAGAAGCAGCAGAATGCAGCACTAGCGCACATATGGCGGCGAGGGCGATAGTGCTTCCGTTCCCCGCAACTTGCGAGAGTGTCCTCCTTTCCGACACGCCCTGGTCCGACAGACCCTTCCTCGCGTCGTAAATTGCCACCCCATGCAGTTGATGAAAAGGGGGTTCATAACCCACTGAGCGATTTGGTCGAAGTGAGAGAAACGACTTGTCATGCCGATTTCTCGCTCGGAGAGCACGCCCCTGCTTGAGTCTGTGGAGGCAGGTTGAAACCGGTGTTACTTGTCGTACATATTCGTGGAACCAAGGGTGCGGCGGGCAGGCGAACACGCACCGATGGGCGAATATCGCAGCACCCCAAGTGTTCGCTCGTTAATTTTTGCTCATCTAGTAAAACGAGAGGGACAAGAGAGGTAGAACCAGAGTATTGAAAGAAACGTGGTCACCAGCACTGGCAGAGAGACGGACACCACGAGAGCACCGCCAGTCAGGTGGGGTCCCCAACCCGCGCGCTTGTTTCCGCTATCTTCCGGTACAATTCCTTCATTCACTCCCCCTCCCAACATCACACGCATGCATACGATATGCACCCACCTTGACCCGTTCATCCGCGAGCATCCTGAGAGAAGGAGCCACGTAAGAGTGTATCTGTCGCGGCGCCCTCCTGGTGTCCCTCTTGAAGTACCCGATGTCGTGCTGAAGGTCGGGGTTGTCTGCAGGACCCAATTCACATCCCCCCCCCGGTCGAAAGAGGGTGAACAAGAGCGGGACGGCGGCGAGAGAGACACCGGATGAACATTCGAGAACGTGGGGCCAGGGGTCACACCAGTTGATGATTGGCAGTGAGAAGCAAGGGTGTGTAAACGAGCGCTATGGCAGGGTCAATACTGGAATGAGTTGATCGAGCACATTTGCCGGGTAAGGTATACACCACGCTCATCCAAGCTCCAACAATCATGTGTACAGCTACGTTCCGAACCGTCGACAACACGTGCAATTCGGGCACTGGTGCTTTGTGCTATTACCCAACCAAACACTTTGGAGTCCTTTGAGTCATATTCGGAAGCACCAGACCCTCAAGAGTCCCCGACAAGGCCTGCCGTGACAGGCATCACTCACGAAAAACATGACTTACATCACACGAGAGACTCATGCTGGTTCATCAATTCTGGAACACAAACACTCCCCTCTCGAAAGCACGTCTTCGGACCATGCCCCCCTCCCCAGCCTCTTGACGCCATCGCAGGCTCCAGCGGTATGCGAGGCCAACGATCTTATCACGCAAGAAAGCAACCGAGGAACCCCCCCCACACACAAACACTCCCGCGTGGTTCACCTGACACCGGTACGTTCGCCTGTGGCTGCGAGTTGGGTGCAGGCGTGCGGTACTCCTTTGCGTTTAGCCCTGGGGTAGCAGCGTTCGCCGGAGGTACCTTCGAACAAAAAAAATCAACATGGGCGGCGGTGGGGCGCGACGGGTGAAGGGTTCGCAGCTATAGGGGGAGGGCCCTGGGTGAGAGGGTGTGCGTTGGAGCTAAGGTTTTCCCGGCCTCTTGTCTTCGTTGCTGGATCTCAAGCGTTTGGATGTGATGGACGGAGAATCGAGTCATGCGCGAACATACCGTGCAGCACCAAGGGCCGACGAAGGGAGATGGTGGTGGGAGTGTGATGGGCGGAGGGAAAGAGGTCCACCGATTCCTGCCCGCACATCTCCCAGATATTGTAGATATCGATCGCCAGACCTTGGCGGGCGGGCGCTACCTATCCTTTTTTCCTTGCATACTTCGTTGTAGGATGAGTGATTTGAGCTTACAGTTTACCTGCCATCCTCGGTTGGGGTCCTTGGGCTTGAACTCCAGGACGTTTCGAATCTGACACCCAGGTTTGGCAGCAACAGGGAACAGCAGCAGCAGCAGCAGCAGCATGTTCAAGGAAAGTCCAAGGTGAGAGATCGCGTGTGAACTATGCACGAAGTATGTCGTCATGATGTCGCTTTACGCGAGAGAGGCAGCAAGTAGAAACACCCCCTTTGACCTTGGAAAACAATGACGAGTTTTTTTTTTGCTCTCCAGTCACAGCTGAATGTAGGGCCCAATAGCGGCCAAGGTCGATCTGTGAAGGTCCACCTGCGGGAGAACTGGCATTAGGTGGTCTTGATCATGTCACAGGAAGGGCAAAGACAGACAAACGCAGGCTAGCGGCATATGAATCTCGTGGAGTTGACAAGGATGGTTGTCATATACCACAATGAACCAGACTAACGTAGGCGACGTCGAGTCTGGAGCAAACTCAAACTTGACTTGCGTGCTGCTGCATACAGTGTAGACTGAGGCATCCAAATTTACAGAGCAAACAAACACTTGTAACGAGCCAAGGAGTGCACACGACAGGAGACCTAGCTCACACGTACCTTCACATACCCGCACAACATAAACATCGGTAGTTCCGTCTGGACGCTGCTCTATTGTCGACATTCTTCGGACTTTCCGTGCTTCTCCAGATAAGCGACGTTGGCAAAACCCGCAGCGGATAGCCTTGCAACACATACTGCAACAAAACAGCCCGCGTCGTACCGACAATCAAGCACCGGATGGCTTTCATCCTTCCCGGCGCCCTTCTCTCACAAACAAAGGGTTACAGCAGCAGCCAAACTCAGGTCTCCTCTGAACAAGGATGCCAGCTTCCTGTTTATCCATCAAGGAACAGATAGACCTAGGCTTCGTTTCTCATCGTACATGCGTAAACTCTTCGAGTCAAGTCTTCAGAAACCCATGCACAACGAGTGACGCTGACTTGTCAAGGCTGCAACGCGCAAGCAGCGCACGGTGGGTTGCGTCGTTGGGACGTTCCTTGATTTGACAAGATTCCGCCGCACCTCGTCATCGACAACAACATAGACTTTCTGTCCTATTTCTTTTTCCTAATATCACAAGGGGGGGTCCCACGAACAAACCCACTTTCTCATGGATGTCCTTAGGAATGTATTTCTTGAACAGCCCTTCGCCCGCCTTCGCCATGGTTCGTAGATTGTGAGCGAGAGAGAGAGACAGCGAAAGTGCACGGGCAAGTAGAGGAAAGAGGAGCAGAGCGCAGAGGGCCGAGGTGGCAGTGGGTAGCACCTCCCCTACGATATGTTTGTTGTCAACCGCGGAGCCCCTCCAAGCTGGTGTGGTATCCTGTCTCAGAAGCTGTCTGCTGTCCTCGCTGGCGATACTAACACTCAGCGCGTTTCTGGACACCCTTCGGGCAAAGATAGTGCGAGGGACTTCAAAAACCCTTTCTGGTCGGAAGGAGTGGACGGTGTGGTCGCAAGTAAGCGAGGTGCGGCCGTCGAAAGCATCCTGTGGACATCCGTGCATCCGTTCAGAATAATCTTCGCCTTCCTCTGGAACGGTGAATCGGTATCTCAAAGTCGCGGCGGCCAAGATGGTTTCCACCTTGGCACGCTTCACCATCTACTGGTGCTGCGTGGCGGCATCATACGTCGTTGTTCTGGGCATTTTCAAGCTGGCTACGAAGGAAGCGAGCGACCGGGACTACGGGCTGTTTCAAGTGGGTATCTACCCTGTTGCCTGAAAGTACCACCCTGCTGCCCTGGTGCTGCTTGTGCTGCAACGCACGCGACCAAACTGCACGCCGCAGGTTCCGGTGGACCATCGCACATTTCCACTGGTTGGCGTTACCCAAAGTCAATGCTAGCCCAGACACCAGCCCACACGATGATTCTTTCGACGTTACCGAAGCAGCATGAACCAACCCAGACCCAAAACTTTTGGGTGTGTACTGCTGTAGCATCCATCCGCAGATTTTCCCGGTTCCAAATTAATGTTCCGATCGTCGCGATCTGTAGCAGTACACCACGCCCCTAAAACCGCTTTCCAGCAGCTGCAGTACCACATAAGCACGCTTGATGCTGAGGCACCTTGCAAAAATGCCGTACATCCTTTGAGGCCTTCATGCTTGTCGAGCGCATCGAGTACCGCCACCTTTCAAGGGGCTGTCAGCGGAATGTGTGGTGCATGTTCGATGCTGAACGGTTGGTGACCAGTGACGGTGTGTGTCACCTCTCCTTTTTGTGCCAGGACTTTCCTTCGCCATGATTGCATCCTTGATAGCTAATCCTTGACCTACGCTACAAGATGTGCAGCGCAACTCGAGCGCGACGCGTGGTATGCAGACGAGGTGCGGCAGAGGAGCAGGCAGATAGATATAGAAATGTACATGTAGCATACCACGCACCATACCGACACTTTCCACCCCAAATAGAGGATGACATGCTTTCGATGTTTCTTGACGGTGTCGTGTTACTGTACGTACTTGCTCCAAATAGGCTATAATAGCGCTTAGCTTCATCTCTCCATTGTTCTGTGTGTCCGGTCCGTCTGTCTCTCGCTATGCCACCCCCCCTGTGTGTTGGTGTGCAGCTTCTCCTGGCTACTCTGGGGCTTGCCCAGCTGGCGTCGATGATGAGCAACCACGAGGACGTCATGTAAGCCGTAAACCACCCTTGCTTGGCGCTTGTTATGTACAAGTTTACGTCGAGGACGTAGTATGACACGGATCCGGAAGGATGTGGGCTCAGACACAACAACTGGACGAGGAATTCGCCGAGGAAAGAGCAGCGCGGCACGACGTTGTCGTGTTGTGGTTCGCGATCACTGTTCGACTGTTCGCGATACCAGCCATTTTGGACAAGAAACTACGCCAGACACTAAATGCTGTAGACCTGGAATTCGACAAGCCAGCATCACTTTGATAAGTTTGACATGTACCATTCGGCATTTCCCGACAATTTCGCTGTTGCTTTTATGGGGCGCGCACGTGC